ACTTGCAATTTCCGCTCTTCCAAGCCAACAGCATTCCAAAATATAGCACACACAAACCATAGCAGCTATGCTGGTCTGCAGGTTTTCCAGGTGTGGGGCAGTTGCATCCAGCCCCTGAACATGTTTGGATTTTGACCAATACATTAAATTCCACTTTGGAACAGAAGGGTGCTGAAAAATCACTTTGCAGGAGGCAGTGGAAAGAACAAATAACTCTTTTGCTTTGATTTCTAGTATTAAAAGTAGACTTCAGTCAGCAAAATATGAACCATAACTAAGTGTTCTAGACTGGATTTTTCTCAAGCCCAGAGTTGTTTGGCTGCAGGTGATAAGAACTACAAAGCTTCAATGCAGCCAAAGAGTTCTTTTCCCCAGGGCTGTGAACAGTTTCACCAGTTAGCCTGAACTGCCACATGAAGGTTTCAGTCTCTTATGTGGAGACACAGTGGGCGTCTGATACTCATGTAAGTACTGGATATTCGTTGCAGTTTCTAAAACTTCAGAAAAGAAAACCCCAAAACAAAACAGGGTAATTATTCTTCCCAGTCACAATGCTTAAGAGTTTCAGTTAGAAACCTGAGTCTGTAATTGTGTGCTGTATGAACATCGCAGAAGGAAAACCAACCCTTATCCCAAGGAGCTCACAGGCTTGTATTATGGTTAGGTGAAATAAAGGAGGAAGAAACAAACCAAAGAAGAGAGGAGGATGGAAGAACTTGGTTTCAGGGAAGACAAACGTTGTGTGGGTGGGGAATGGCTTTTTCAGCTTACTGCTCAGCTGTAGTCTGGAATTTTGAAGTTTTATCAGCTCACTATGTCGTTATGTTACCAGTAGATCTCAAAATTACTTCAGTGAATGCAAGATTGGGCTGTTTGCTAAAGTTTAAAAGCAAAGTCAATTGAAAATTGATTTGAAAGCTGATCATGAGCATGCTAGGCAGAAAGCTTTCTTTCACGCTCCTAGGTTTCAATTTTTGGATGGAAACAACAGTAAACTCACTTTGAAGACCTTATAAAAGCTGTCTCTGAAAAATCATTTTTCTTTCATCTCACAGAGAATATGATTCAAACAAACCACATTATACATTCCAGTTTCGTAATATTGAAAAAGAGTAGAAGCCTTTCAGAAAATCTGGCACCTAACAGCTGTTGCCACTCGAGTTGCAAACTCTACTTATGTAAAACCCTGCCAAAATATTAATTTTTAAATGCGCACATTTTTAAGCCTTATGTTGACATCACAGCTTTTAATCACAGTGTAAGTTCCCCTTGTTCTGCCTCTCATGGCCATGCCGTGCTACTTAGCAGGTTTTAAACAAAGTAAGGGAGGCAGATAAACAAATTTAGGAACAGATTGTTTAGCTGAGATTTTAATCACATCCCTGAACGCCACTGAATGGAGACAATGCTGCAAGTAGTTCCGAGTTCTGCAAGGGTAAACTCTGCAGTTTTCACCCAGTCTTTGAAGGCCTTTACACCTCTACCAGGGCAGGACAGATTAAGAGTCCAGACACTCTAGGAAGCAGAAGCAACAGTGGGATACTATAAAAAACATCTTTTTTTTTCCCCCCAATTTACTTATTCCATTCAAAGCTGATGGGTTATAAAAAGAAAATAAAACAAAGAATACCTCTTTATGTACGGAAAAAATAAGCATGGACACACTGTAAGCGGAAAGGAACTATTTCGGAAATTCTTCAGGCTTTGAAGTCTTTAGATTTAAGATGGTAAATAATATGATAGATATATGATGCTTACTGTTTGTGAATACATGCAGCCCCAATCTGAATCTTCAAAGGAAGCATCAGAAAGCTTTAAAGAGGACAGAGTAGCATCCATTCCCCCTATTTTAATGATGGAAGGCCTCTGAAACCATAGGTCATTCTGTGAAAGCCTGTTATTAAGTCTTAGAGGTCCTACCTGCTGTGTCCCACTTCAGAGCCCAGCCCTTTTGTTTAGGGACACCAACATCTGCAGTCTTTCATCTCAGTACAATGCCAGATAGAGGGCTTTTTAGGTGAGCATCACTGCACTCCCTTCAAATCACTGATCTTTGAATCCTTGCTGAGGATTTATTGAAGGCCCAGCAGTCTAGCACATAAAACTTATATATCTTTCTGTGTTTTTTCAGAGCTGTGGTTACTCAGCGTTGAGATAAAACGATAGCCATTAGCAGTCACCACAGAGTTCCTAGCTCCAAGATTTTGCTGTTACAGAACTATGAAATTCTTCCTTTTATGTAAAACCAGCAACCAACAGACACTTCAAGAGTGGAGATATCACTAAAATGCAAAACCAAAGCCTCAAACTGAACAAGATATTCAGTAATTATCTTCATCCTTCCATCTGTAGCCAGCAGGTACTTTTTAGTCCTTTTGGTTCATATACTTTACTGTGGACAGGACCCCTCACACCCAGCCTCCTGACTGAAGCCATGTCAGTGGATATCTATTACCCAGTATAATCCAGCATGAAAAAAGAAAGATCTAATAAACTGCCAACAGCCCCAGTCCTTGAGGCACCCAGAAAATACCACTTGCTAGAAACAAAATGAGCTGTACTGCAGAGAGGGTTCATGTCTTTAACAACAGCAGCAGAAAAATGTGAGGACATAGGAGATCAGACAAGTTGACATACCTTTCAAAAGCAGATGTTCTCACTCTTCAGGTTAGAGTAAAGTGGCACCTGAGGATTTTGCTGCTCCTTTGTAAACACAGCAGAGCCTTGTCTTCCCCTCACAATTACTATGCCCAGAGCAGCTGCTCCTGATCTGAAGAGGAATTCTTTTGAACCTGATGCACATACACCTAGAGTTACAGCTTAGGGAGTGCTCTTGACAAAGCAACCCCAAACCTTGTGCTTGGGGAGTGTGTGTATTTTTGCTTAGTTTAGTGTGAGGTGTCCCTGCCCATGGCAGGGGACTTGGAACTAGATGATCTTAAGGTCCTTTCCAACCCTAACTATCCTATGATTCTATATCATAAAAGCTTTACTTCTCAGCTGAGCTGGCTCCTGCCCCAATGTCACTGTTGGTGGCGATCCACACGTTTCAGCAACTCTCCAAGACATCACTTTTGTCTCATTGTCTCATCTTGCCCTTAGCAAGCCTGTGCAGCTTGGCATTAATAACCCTGGCAGCTGTCTGGATTCTGAGCAAGTACGTGCAGGATGACAGTGTTGAGAAGTGACTTCACTAGGTCAAGCGCTGTACAAACTCAAAGTATAAGACAGCACAGCTTAAATAAATAAGGAAAAGAAAAAAAAAAAATAAAATCCTCATTTAATAGGTGGAGAATAGAAGCACTGAAATTCAGTGATTTACTTCAGGTTACACAAGGGTGCATAGGCCACAGGAAATGCAGGTTAGCAGAGTCCTTGTTTGCTGCTTAAATACAGGACAAATTTCAATCACCTTTCCTCACACAATCTTAAGAAAGATCACTCTGAGCTTTGGGAATTCACATATGGGATGTGTAGCTAGTGGCTGCTGAAGTGCATCTGCACATGCCAGGCTGTGACAGAGTCTGCAGCAGCAGGTGTGCAAGACACCTACTGTTGAGTGGGACTATCTAGCAAGAAAGTAAGGGATTGTCAGTGGGCTTCTTGTCTGTTGTCCTTGCTGATAAGACTTTTACTGCCACTCCTGTCTCTTCTCCCTGCTGCAACAACTCATTCTCACCCAAACATGGTAGGAGAGCAACTGGTTAGTGGTGGTAAGGACAGCAATCTCTGGCACCAAAAGGACACCAATGTCTGGCACTTACGGCCCCACTCAGCTGGTTAAATGGGTACTCAGCAGCAGTACTCAGGAGACCTGTGACTTTCTGAGCCACCTCTGTAAAAATCTAAGCCTGGAGGAGGGCAATTTGCCTTACGTTCCTCCTAGCAATGGTCTATTTCTATCAGGATAGCTGCGGTAGCTGGTTCTTCTGTAGGAATGGTATCACACAACACAAAGCATGGTGAACTGTCAGGTTAATGATGTGAAAATCGCCTCATTGTATTCAGCCTTGATGTTAATATTGCTGTGAAATCACTCTGTGAGCTACGTCTGTGAAACGTGTTAAAGAACAGGAGGGACAGCTGTGCTCTTCTGTTACTGGTCAAAAGGCTTTGTTAGAATAACCAAAGCATAAAAAAAACCCAAAAGATGCTAAAGGAAATGTGCTTGTCTCTGGGCCTTGTGGTGGGATACTGTCCAGATTGTCCCAGCCTCACTTCCTGGTTTCCTGATATATTCCCAAAGAAGCATTGCACACACCTTCACTGGCTTTATTTGCCCCTGTCCAGGTAATTTTCTAAGCTAATAATCTGTAGTCTAACAAACAATAAAAATTACTGGTTTTCACTTGAGGCTTTCATTTCCTTTACACAGAGACCCACGTTTCACTGCTGACTGATTAAACATGCTGGTTAAAAGTACAGTCTTTGGGATCTCAGTATGCTTATAACATCCTTTTGAGCAGGGTGGAAGTGTGGATGCACTTAGGAAGAATCTTGGTACAGGCTGACTCCCCTTCTGTTTGCTTCTCTGAAATAATTCAGTTTGCTATTCTTTAGAAGGGAAATAAAAATTCTGTTCTATAAGGACAGCCATTTTTCCTTTTCTTGTAATGCAAATATTTTTTAATACAAAGAGGAAAATGACATGCAGGGGGAGAAGGGCACATGACAGGCCTCCCAATTCCCATTGGTATGCCCTTCTCCCTCTTGCACCTCAGAAGTTTTAATTGAAGAGAATGTAGTTTATTGGTTTTTAGCATAAGGTAACGTGTTAATGGTCAGAGGAGGTCAAAGTAACTTTAGGCCAGTCTAGAGAGCATATAATGAGAAATTAAGGATGTGTAGTAGATTAAAGATCTGATAGTGTTTCCCATTAAATCAGAAGTTCTTTTGATTTTAGCAGCAAAAGTCCCAGCCATAAGGGGGGAAATGTGTACTATTACTGTATCTAAAGAAAACAAAAAAAGGAAAAAGAAAAAGCAAGGACTTGGAAAGTCATCATATTAAAGTATTATCTAACTCTGATTTTATGAGATAATTATTTTTGTCTTATATACTTACACTTGGCTCAATTAAGCCACAAAGGCACAAGTTCAGTGGGACACTGAGGGAGCAGTTGTATTCTGAAGTAAAGCTTCAACTTCAGTCCATGGAAATAATGGGCTTGTTTTGGCCTTTTTCTTTCTTTGGGTTTTTGGTTTGGGTTTTTTTTTTTTTTTTTCTTTTTTCTTTTTCTTCTCTTTTTTAGATCCAGTAAAAATGAAGACTACAAGGAGATTGAAGAGTTTATAACAAGAAGTGTTCCTGTAGTCTATAGAGATGTCTCAGTCTACAGTCCAGCCAGCAAATTATTTCCTGTATGATTCCTTAGTTCTCCTGCGAGGGACAGTACTACAATCCCACCATCTACTGTCTTGATCATTTTCTTGTTGTTGCAGGTGAAGCCTATGTGTGTCTGAACTGGCAAGAGATCAAGCTGTTCAATTGAATTTAGCTGCATTTAACATGACCATTTATAGCAGATCTGATGCTGGGTAGTACTATGTGCTATGGTCAAAATAGATATTAAAGCAGTGATTCCAGAGGCTGGCTCCTCTCCTATGTACAATCTGTAGTTATATTTTAACATTATGCTATTTTATGTAAACTACCAATACTATATAGTATTACAATGTCCTGTTGTCTCCAAGGATTCCTAATATTTTTGTGCTGCAATGAAATTCTATAAAACAAAGAGAAAAATGATGCTATATTTACAATCAAGAGAACATATCAATGCCTGTTGTTTGGTAGCATAATGAAACTGCTAATTCAGGGTTTAATTTTGCCATTACAAATAGAGTGGATATATATTATTACTGTGTGATGATGATGCAAGAAATAGCTTATTCTTGACTGAGATTTATACATCTGTACTTTTTATTTATTCTGAAAAAAGAGAGATAGGTTTGCTATATATATTCGTAAAGTTACATGCTTTAATATTTTCTTGAAAACAGCTTAATCTTTAATAATTCCAAGCACTCATAGTCTATCCTGTCTGTTCTCCCTCCCTCTCCTTCTTCAGAGAGAGAAATAAATACATCTTTGTGTGTACTGCACATATATGTATGAAAAATAAACTTCCTCTGTAGCAAGTAAACCCAAGAACAATGTTGCTAGCAGCTGTTGTGCTTAAAGCCCAGTGCAGAACACTGGTCCGTTATGAGCTTTCAATGCTCTTCTCAACATTAGTAATCGACGTGCCAGTACAATATATTGTAAATTCAAATGCCGAGGCCAGGAGACCACAAAAGCTCCTCTGTCTGAACAGAAAAGTCTTTCACAGTGCTGCAGAATATGCTGGCAGACTGCATCAGTTCAGAGCCCACAGTGTTCCAGAAGATGGTTATGTACAAGGAGGACAAATCTTGTCTAATCCTTGATTAAGTAGCTACTATAACTGTTACTTTTAAAAAATGAGAAGAATCATATGTATGTCTCAAATACAACCATCAGATAATTACAGGCTGCCCAGTGGCTGCATGAAGCGCAGTAGCTGAAGAACAGAAAAGGTCTTGTGTTCCTTCAGCAGGAGAGGACATCCTACCCACTCTCACAAACATAAAGTAAGACCTATCTTTTAAAAACAGACATACACCTATTTCCTCCTGGTTTATCAAATACTCTCATAGACAATCATTTTTGCAAGCAGAAAGTTACAAAGCCAAAGAGTTTTATAGCAACAATGGTAGTTTTTCTTAAAGGTGAAATCCCAAGGTAACAAGCACCCAGTCCCATGATTTTCACTCACATTTGTACATTTGAAGGTGTTGGGAAGAGTTAATGCTACATTGGGTAAAATAGCATCAAAGTGAAACCAAATAACTTCTCATTGCATGGTCCATCTAAAGAGAAAGGTACCTACTGGGATTTTTAGGAAGTTTTGCTAGCTATCAGTGGAAGCAACAAGATGTCAGAGAGAGGAAGATCAGCTTAGCAAAGAGAATACTGTTTTTTATAATTTTATTTTAAATGAAAATGCACTCAGATACAGCCCAGTTATATCAGCAGAAATTTAGACAAGTGTTGAAAGCTAACAAACTCCTGTAACTGATCTCTTAGCTTCACAATTAGTCATTGATATTGATTATAAGCTCAGACTAAATTCAGTCTTTTGCATTACCCAGATTCAAAATCAATCATGTTAAAATACAAAAGTGTCTTAAATTTCACTTTCCACCTTAGCTTACAAGAGTAATAAAACCACTGAAATGCCTTCATTAATAAGCCACATTGACATAATATAAAACTGTACAAACTGTTGTTTAAAACAAGCATTATAGGGTAAGATATAGCAGCACTAATGATTTCAAGCAGAATTTTTCCCACTTGTAATTATGTAGACTCTTTTAACTAAATTACAAATAAAAAACACTTTGAAAATGTACTCTTAAATTCACCAGAATAAAAAAAGCCCAAAAAACTGTCTGAGGAAAAAGTCTATATTTTACGGTGTGCACTCACACTTCAAATTCCCAGGATGTGGAACGCTATTAGAACAAGGGGTTTCCTCATGCTTGATGTACTTGGAAACACATCCTGCACCTGACAAGGTGAGCAGTCTGCATGCTGGAAAAGTACCGAGTACTGCTGAGTAAGGCAACTGAGACAAAGCATGGCTTAAGTTCAGTGTGGTTTAAGGCAGAGTACGTATTTTGAAGCTGTCACTTCTTCTGCTTCCACATAGAAGCACTAGTGCTCTAGGAATGTGTTTAAGAGCTTTGGTTGAAAAGACCTGCTGGAGCTGGAGGTGGTTCCCAGAGATAATCTAAAGAAATTCACTACAATGAGCTAGACAGTCCCTAAAAATCCCCTTCGTTGACTATATTCTTACAGCCATTCAGTCCAAAGCTCCAAATATATATTTGTACTAAAAAGACAAACAGGTCAAGCACAGCTTTCTCAAAATACCCACCCCTTATTTGTCCCCCATAAGACACATCTCCCCCTCTGGATTAGGCATCATCTGAAATTTTACCTGAGTGAGTGTGGCAATACTTTGGCCTAATAAGTAAACCAGGTCTAGTCCTAAACTTGCAAAAGATGTAAATTAATGTTTTACAAAAGATGTAAAATTAATGCTTTATCAGGCCAAATTCTGCACACTGTTACGCTGACCTTGATCTAAAGGAATTTCTGTGGCATTAGTTTAGATTAGTTTAGATTTTCAAGTGAAGGCAAATTGTAGTCCATTTTAGCCCATTAAAATAAACTGACCCACAGCTTCTGTTTGAAGAATCAATAGGTTAAACAAAGCATTGTCAGCACTTTCCACCATTTACTACAAGAAAAGTCCCACTCACCCCATTTGACAAGTTTTCAATTATTATTTATCTTTTCCAGTACCAACAATTTCTACCTTATCCACAGAAAGACACCAAACCTCAGGAAAGCGTATCAACATGGGGGTTATATTGTTGCATAAGCTTATGCCTAAAGATGCCAGAAAGTAACTGGGCTCTGATCATTCTTTGGCTTGAAGCTGGAGCCTCCTTTGTAGATCAGTTCTTCCACTTGTTGGAGTCCCATGCCAGGAACCAGCCTGTGAAAGTTGGGGGTTCATGCCCCTGCTTCACAATGACAATGGAGGTCCTCTTGTCTCTGCCAGAAGGATCTGTTTCAATATAGCGTTTGGCTAAAACCAGAGGAAATATAACATGTAATATATTAGTTCATTCCTTTGGTATAAGAAACACATTAAAAGCCCTAGTGAAAGAACCCAGGGCTACTATAACACAGTATTCAATTAAATTCTTTCAAAGGCAATGAAATGTTCAGGTAATTACTGATTTCTCCCAGCTGCCAGTGAAGGAATTTTCCACAAGGCTGAAACAGAGGGATTGTTGCTTTGATCAGTTCATTGCCATACACCTGGGTTTTGGCTCCTGAATAGGAGAGAAATCTGCTAGTGCTGTGTAGATGCACAAGCTTCGTTCCTGCTTTGCTTATGTAAAAGCCAGTATAGTTTCCCCTAACATCACAATGTGACATCCACACAGATCACAAACACAGTCAGGTAACCCCAGATGCTCCAGGGAAATACCTGCAAGCGTTTTTAGCACAAACTTTGTCAGAAGAGCTCAGCTATGTGAAATCACACCAGAGAGAATATCTGACTTTCCAAGGAGGTGCACTCCATATGAGTTGTCTTGCTTTGTTCTGTAGTTGGAATTTCCTCCTCCTAATTTAAGCTCAGTGAACAGTGGCAGGGGAAGGACTTGAGGATTTGTTGGCATGCCTTTGACTATATAAATTAGTATAGGGCACAGCTCAGTAGTTATCTCCTTTTCAATTCTTTCTCTTCTCAGTGTAGTTTCTTTTCATGGAGCTCTCCTATATGTTCTTTAAAAAGCTCTGCAGCCTAATAATACTATCTTGATTAATTTTATCCTTCATATGCTTACAGATAATAAAGATAAAATTAGTTTTAAAGCACATTTGAAGGAGAAAATAATTTTCTTCAGGATTAAATCCTAATAAGCTCAGTAATTCCTTTAAACACTGTAAACATAATTAGATTTCTTCTAAATCATCTTTTTCACTTCTTTAAGTAATATTGATTCTACTTCACTCAAAAGTCTTCCAAATTGATTTGACTTACCAGATTTAACGGATTCCTGTTGCTCAATTTCATTAGCATCCTTCCCAATCCAGACAAAAACCTGCAAACAGAGGAAAGAGGTAGCCCCCATGTTGTTACAAGGATGTTGCATACAGCAGGCAAAGTACAAAACAGTTGATTCCACCAGGAGAAAGAATATACACTATAAAAAGACTGCACAGAAATACAGCTGTCACAAACCACAACTGATACTATTTTTTTCCCTTGCAAGAGATTGTAGTTCTATTCTCCAAAATCCACAGAAGATGTAATTACAAGTTCCCTTCACCACAGTGCATAAAGGTCCATACTTCCAGTGTCAAGAGAGTGGTGAGATTTCAGAGGGTAGAACTAGTCTCGCAAGGAAATCAGAAGCCTCAGTCTGCAGTCCCCACTTAGTTGTTTGGTTGGTTGGGTTTTTTTTTCCTGTCAAAGATCCTTTTGGAGTCCAGCTATGTGTCTCGGACTTCCTTCCTTTTTCCCTGAGTCACTGTGTCCCAGCTACTTTCCATCCAGCTCTTCCACCCACCTTGTGGCATCACTCCTTCATACGTGAACCTTGGACTTTCCTCCTCATTTCCAAAAACCTCAGCCTTTTTTTCCATAAGAATTAGGCTGAAGAGCACAAATAAAGCATGGGATCTGTGGCTTCCTCCCCACTTTCCTCCAAGGAAAGAGGAAGGGTAGAGAATATACTGTAAGAAACAGATGTGCTCTATGCACCCCCAAGTAAGTTTACAAGTCATCCAAAAAGCTCTCAACATTCTCAGTTTTCAGTGAACCTGAAAAAATGACAGATTGTTTCTGCCAACCTCCACTCAGTTCGTCTGAAGAAAACTGTGTAAGGAATTAGTCTTTGTCCCCTTCTCTAATAAAACCTTTTGTAGGTGCTGCTGCTAAATGGATTTTGTGGCTTCTGAATACCTTTTATGCAATAACTTTCAGTTTTTTAAATCAATAAACTTTATTGATAAAGTCAAGAACATTATTGAGAGCCTTTCAGGGGCTCATACTCTTGCAGTGTCCATTGGTTTTAATGGGGAGTGCCTGCCACGATCCTACATGATGCTTGGAAAATCACTCCTGTGTGTTCACAGTAGCACATCACGTAGCTCAAAAAATGTAGCTCCCTCTGGTATAATGTAAAGAAAACAAACCCTCTTCCATTCTCAAAAGATTATTTTTCTTCCCATCTTATGATCTAAGTGATAAGGAATAAATTATCCTTGTTACCATGAAAAGCAGTGGTCAAGAACACAGCTTACCTGCTCCCAAGCATCCAGCAACATAACATCATCTTCAGCCAAATCGTCCTGAGTGAATTCTCCTGGTACCTCCTCGATCTGAAAAGGACATTATGCTTTGGTTTGGGTTTTTGGTTTTTTTGTTTTTTTTTTCCATAATTTATCAAGATATTTTGATTTTGCACAGACCAAAGATACTTTTAAGAGGATAAGGCTAGAAGCTGTTGCGCAATTCTTTTTGCTTCTAAAGGATCAAGACCTAAACTGATTTGATGAATGTGTCAAGGGTGTTTCTCTGAAAGGAAACAAATCACATAATTGCATATCCTATAAAATCAGCTCAAAGTTTGTCAGGATTGATAGGATATCCTCAAGGGGGGCAGAGGTTTACATTGTAATTCTGACTGTTGTTAAGTTGGGACTGAGGTCTGACAGAAGGCGGCCACAGGGAAATTCCCATAGAGCACCTTGTACCAAGCAAATCAATCAGCTGATCCCACCTGATGTATTTCTGCAGCTTACATTCATTAATAAGGGAAAGAAACTGCATTGGTCTGCAGTGGGTGAGCTCAGTGATGAAATACACACCCACGCATGTTTTCCAGTCACTTGACACTGGGATATTATAGTTGACTAAGGCATCTCAAGGCTTAGTCCCCAGAGGAAATGCAGACTGTTTGCTTCTTCCAAGGACGCGCAGGCAGATAGGAAAGCAGTTTAGCACTATTCTGTGTGAGAAAGAGAGATAGCAACGTAGCTAGTGGTCAGCCCTCTACTTTTAAAGAACTGTCAAGGGTGTGGCTATGCTTGGTCATGTAGGAGTGCTGAAGAGACAGTGAGCAGATGGTGCAAAAGACACTCCTTTTCTCCACCCTAGTTACAGTGCCAGAAGGTCAGAGTGATCTGACCTACCTCTTCTGGTGAGCTCTAACAGTGATGATTCTGTTAACTAGAGAAATGCTTCAGGAAAGAGGGGATTTCACAGAATTTGGAGGTAATTTAAAACAAAAACCAAACAAGTGCACAGCTGCCAGAACACTATTTACGGAGAGATTTGCTCCTGTATTTCACAGGAGTGTTTTAGAAGCTTGCTAGGAGAATACACTTTACTACCCTTATTAAAAAGTAATCCTTAGTAAAAGTTCCTACTTGTTTTATCCCTCTTCAAATGAATGGGCTGTATTTTATGGAGACTGCAGAGATGGTGGCAAACTATGTCCCCTACCTAAAAATTAGTAGATCCGTGCCAGAGAGTGACACAGTGTTGCCCTCCCAGAATACAGTAGTAAAACCTGAATCACAGGCTTAATACACAGTGCCCACTTTTGGGTATTTCTGCTAAGGAACTAGGTATTCCTACCTCTTAAGCATAGGTTTATACCTCAGATGCATAATTTCATGTCTTAAATCGCTATGGAAAAAATCAGACTGCTAGGGATTTTTGGCAAGGAACATTTCCTCACTACCACTATCAAACACATTAAGAGGCAAGGCACTCACCTGCACTTTCTCAGTGAAAGCAGTCTGGCAATGCTCTGCAAGAACACTGTTGCTTTCAACTGGGCAAATACCTCATCATTTTGCATCTGCAGGCCTCTAGTCCCTGGCTGGAGCAGGCTCTGTGTGCAGACTTCTGCATTATTCATTATTCTGTCCATCCATTGCATTTGGATTGATTTAAAGCATGAAACATCAATTCTCAAGCTCTTGTCAAGCACAGCTAACTAAGCCAGATCCCCAGATTCATTTAATGACTGATGATTCCCAATGCAAAACATACCAGAAACTATACAATTAAACAGAGAAAAAAGTATCCCTCATATACTCACAATAAATCTGCCAGTCTTGTTAGAACAACCATACAGGCGAGGGGGGTGATCTTCAGCCTTTGTCAAGAGTTGTGATGATGTCTGGTACTTTTTTTTACCTCCAAGTGCTTTCCAGAATTCCTCTGAAATACACAGTATATAATTTATTCAGCAGTGGATTTAATATTTGATGGTTTAGCTTGTTAGATACATTTCAAGAATCCCCAAACAATATCTGTGCTGTCTCAAAGATGAGTACATTTTTCTATAGTTCTTCCCACAGTTTGACAAAATAGTCATGAAAATATCACTTGCAGACCTAGAAAGAGCAACGCACTATGTCCTTCTCCCCTCCCAGGCACTTGCAGTAAAGAAAGGACCACATTCCTCTGCAGCTTCTACTACTGTCCCGCAGACTTCCAGGGCATCACACTGCTCATGCATCAGCCAGTTCTGGATGGATCTCCATAGTAAATGTCAGGTTGGATTTTAAAAGGGAAAAAGTGAGCATATAATTCTGGCTACAAAATATATATGATTACAAAACCCCATTTAGGCTGTATTTCCATGCAGTGCTCTGTGTTCTTAGCTACCTATTAGCAACCATGTGGCCTCATACTAACCAGGTTCCTGGCCTTCATTAATCTTAGCAGTCTGGCTATTAAGAATGCTGGCAATGTACTGAGCTCCATGTTCCTCTTCTTTGGTTGATCCTTTTCCTACCCAGGTGTAGCCAGAGTTGTTTGGCAGTTTCAGAACAAAGACATCATTAGAGTTTAGAGAGACTGCATCAACATCAACCTAGATCAAAAAAGAAACTGTTTAATTCTTCATATTTTCAAATAATGTAATCACTATTTTGCATGCTTATATAAACTGTGTAGATAGATCTTAATCAGCCATGCTTTTTCCCTTCAAATTTTCCCTAGATTTATACTGATATAAGTTACAGAACTTAACCTGAGACAAGGAACCTACTTGAATGGCAAAACTTAGGACTGTTTGGCAGTGGGAAAGACTATCGCATAAGGGTTGCTGATTCTTATCTATTCTTTGTCAGCTGACTCTTCACTACATGTTTTCTTACAGTTGCCTCTGAAAGCTGTAGATTGGTTGCAGACAGTTACAGCATATTCTCTTTGATTTATTACATGGATTGGTCACTTACGGCAGTGGATTTGATTTGGAATTCTGCATTCCTATTAGATGCGACTACCCAACAAGATTAGCCAGAGAGGCTATGGAAGCTATACCATTTCCCATGGAGAGCAGTTGATTTATCTAGCAGGTGACCTTACCTCCGCAATCCTAGTAATAGCTGCAAGGTTCCTGCGGATTTGGAAGAGTCGCGTCGGTGGAGCAGGTTTCTGACCTTCATTCCTGGATGTCCCATCCTTGTAGACAATAAGTGGTTTGTTTTTGAACAAGCTCAGTAAATGCGCAGGCTCTTTGCCTTGGCTGACTCGAATCTGTACGTATGTAAAGAAATGCAATAAAAGAAACAAAAGAACGCAGGTAGTTATTTTTGGTCTTTGTTGAATAGCGGGGGGGATATTAGCCAATAATGTGAAGTTTGTTAGCATGAGGGAGAAGTGGCAAGCAGAGAAGACGTAAAGATATAGTTCCAGACACATTAAAGTTAAGAGCATTTGTGAGACTTTTTTGTCAGTCATGCTGACACAAAGATTCAACCTTCTAAGGTAATGTTTAGCTGATTCAAATGGCTGCTATCTACTGTAATGAGAAAACTACTCTTTTTCAAAAGAATTGTCATTTCATAGCATTTTATAGAGTGACTGAAGAACTACTGTGGAAGTTTAGGTGCCTTGTACTTAAGCAGAACAGAATGAGTATTCATCCTGTTCATTATTTCTATGTTTATTTTATCTGCAAGAGGGTGAAAAAGATGAGCATAAATCTATCTTGCAGGTAACGTAGATGACAAAACCAAACTTATATTAGGGATGCAAAAGATGTTATTTCAATCTCAAAAAAAATTGAGTTATGAAGAATAGATATTTTTAGGTTAATGTATGATAAAAGTTATTTGTATACGACTATTTATTCTTCCTTTGTATCAGTGCCACCTGTCAAGGTGGAGAGCTGCGACTACCTGCCTTTCACTCCTGGAAAGAAAGAGGAAAAAGGGAACGAGGCATGCTGCATAGCCAACAGAGGAGAATTGAAGAGCTCCAGCCCCTTAGCCCTGCCTGGTGAGGCTTGAGGCAGCTGGACAGCATTGGTCATGCTGGGGAGCAGGAGCAAGTGTTTCTACTTCAGAGACAACAGCAGCTGACTGATGAGGATATCCTGGAACACATACACTTGTGTGTATGCCAAACTGCAGCAGGATTTTACAGATGGGGAAAAAAACTAATCACCAAACAAAATAAAACAAGCCAACAAAAAAACCTGAAGGAAACATTCTTGCAAAACAAATAGGGAAAAATGACGGGTTTTAGTCATTTGTACTGTAATGCCATCTAGTGACCACAAAGTAGTACATGTAAACTCTTCAAATAATGCTAATACAGACGTTAAGCACAGGCAATATAATCTAGGTAGCCATGTACGTGCATACAAATGCACACATATTTGCGTGTGTATATACACATACATATATACACACACATATACATTCCTAAATTTATTTCAGGCTAAAAGTGCTTTTAAGTATTGTGTCCATTGCACTGAGATGGATCTCCTTCAGTTTTAATAAAGAGTTTTTAAGCACATTACTATTGCAGTTGAGAGTAGTAATATTATTATTACTGTAGTATTAGTACTGGCCTTAGGTATGAGGCTGGCCCACACTCTGCTGGACTCCGTCCAAATATAGAACACGTGCTAGGAATATTCCAAGCAGTAATTGCTTAGAAGTGTTCTAATCCCTCCTTAATATAATTTCAATCATAAACCATTACTGATTAATGGCTAAAAGCATAGTCTGACATCTAGATTAACTGTACCTTAGTGGGTGGGGAAGCCTTTTACTTTGGTAATTAAAAAATGGCAATCACAGAACTCTCTGCCTAGAAAATCTGTTCCTTGTTTTCTTACAGCTCTAGCTTTCCTGTGAAAAGAGGAGACCTCTCACCTCTCCACCTACTCACCACTCCTCACTAGTGATGAAAGAACATCACACACCCTAGTCATGCTAGGACTAGCTTATCTCCTCACACCTGTTAGCTGTCAGTGTCCTGCACCTTGCCTTGCACACCCCACTTCTGCAAGTGAGGGTGTGTATCCTGCTTTCATGGAGCTGCAAGCACTACAGGATGGGAAACCCAAGTTATGTTCCTCAGTAAGGCAGGCACAAGCCTGATGCTGTCACACAGTTCATCATACCATAGAACCATAGAATGCTGAGGTTTGGAAGGGACTTTAAAGATCATCTAGTTCCAAACCCCCTGCCATGGGCTGGGACACCTTCCACTAGACCAGGTTGCTCAGCATCATGTGGCTTTCATATCTCCTAGTTTTGGCCCACTAAAAGTCAGGTGTCCTGTCTTGGCTAAACATGACAGCTTCCTCCATAATCAAAAGGAGACAGGGGAGCTCCCACAGGGGTATCACCCTGTCAGACAGCTGCTTCAGGGTGAGTTGCTCTGGGAGGATCTTATCTGGTCTCTGCTGACCGTGTATAGCATCTGTAAGTCTAGGCAGGACTAAAACCTAATTTTTAGGTAGTGAAAGTCAAAGGAAAGAAAAGGCAGTTTTAGGCTGTGTTATATTTGTGTTCTTCTGAATATCTACATTCAGAAAGAATGATTCAAATGGGGAATATCCAGTGACTTTAAAAGGAGCCCATGGTGCTTGGCTTATACAGATCATGAGCAGCTAACTTTCCCAGTCTTCAAACACTACCTCCTCCTTTCAGTTCTTATAGAAATTGGTATATTTTGCATGCTGTATTGAATTTTATCCAAAAGACAATAACCTGCACAGCCTGACCATTCAATAACCTATCCAGCTGAACAGTCAGAAATGCAGACGCAGTCAGTTCATCTTTTGTAGCATGGGCTCCTTGCCTAAGAGAGAAAGGCAAAGAGAAAGACAGTGGTTAAGTCCAGTTTCAAAATGATCCAGCACTTATACTGCATAACAAATGCACAGTAAACAATCTTGCATTTATATGTGGTTCTACTGAAAAGGACATAAAGTCAGCATAAAATAATATCCACATTCTGGAGGTTTGTGCAAAGCCAACCAAACACACCATGTGTAGATGATCTGTCCTTTAGGGTAAGTGTAGAGGATAATGTAGCAGTCGCCACCATAGAACTGTCCGTAAGTTTCAGGTCCCACAGGAACCCTGCCACTGCTTTCCACACGCCAGATCTGGGGAAACAGAGATATCACTGGAGTATGCTGCACTTCATCCTGAGACTCTGCAAGAAGCAATTCACTGTGTCATCCCTTTGAGTGACCTTTGTTTCTGTTACCAAGTGTTATGGAATAAAACCAGGAAGGATTCTTCATGAAGTAGATCTATACACCCTGCACCCACTGAATGAATGAATAATGACCATCAACAAGCCAATGCAGTACACTTTTCTTTGTCTGATGCTTTAATGCCACATAATCATCTCATAATGCTATGTTGAACTTACTTTAAGATCTTAAGATGACAATATGACATGAATGGCACAACACTGTGATTCATCACAGTACTACCATATCACTTGGGAAAGGCACATTGCAGTCAGAGAGCACACTGTTATGCAGATTTCTTCCTATTTGATTCATTACAGCCCAGTTCAGTTAACAACTGTTCTCCAAAAACATACTACTAAAATTATAAATAAAAAAATGCTGCAGATCAAAGCTGCTTTGGCTTAAGTCTATGGACCATAGAATCATAGAATCATAGAATAGTTAGGGTTGGAAAGGACGTTAAGATCATCAAGTTCCAACCCCCCTGCCATGGGCAGGGACACCTCGCTAGAAACCTAGAAAACATAGCAATGAGACTGTAGGTATTTGTCTCTTCTTTTTCTTCTGGAATCCCAACATGCAGACCTGTATATAAAAGGCTGTGTTGCTAAAATGGGAAACCAGCCCTGTGTAGTCCAAAGATATTCCTGCAGTGGGATATGGATAGATTTAGAAAGACTGTACAATCATTTTTTCTCTCCAAATCCAGGCTACCTGAGAAACACAACAGGGACAAAGAAGGTTCTTCTAGAAAGCAGACTGAATACATACATAAAGACACAGAATTGAATTTTTTTACTCCAAGGGCATGTCTTCCCATTCCAGATTTCAAGCTGATATAAGCCAGAAGTCTTTCCTTAGGCTAAGGATCATATTTAAAGTACATCTTTAACAGGTATTGTGTATAGATTCAATTTCTACTTCAAAGTGTCTTTTCTGATGATAGAAGTAACACTGCCCCTAATGTAGCATTACTCTATGCAACAGTGTAAATGGCAAAACATAGCATAGCAGCTTATCCCACTACACGTAACAGACTACGCTGGGTAGGTGGGATGCAATTTAACACAACACAAAAATTACCTCTACTTTCCCTGAACCATCATCAACCATGTTGTGCTGGGCAGCCATTTGTGGAGACTCATGTAACTTGGTAGCATCAAATTCAATCTGCTCAATTTTAGCCACTCTCTCTGTGACATACACTTTGCCAAAGCCATCACTTTGATCTTTATCCTTCCAGTCTTTGAAAAATTGTTTGAAAATTGGCGTTTCACCTCCTTCTGGAAAGACTTGAATCTGAAATGAAGCAAGACACATGAAATGGAAGGAAAACAAAACTGACACTCAAACAGAAACTTTTCTGAGTTACTTGTCAGTGAAATATTGCCCTTACGTCTTACCAGCCCTTAAAATATTTTTTGCTGATTTAAAACCAAAGCTTTAAACAGAGCTCATGTTTTCCTGGTATCATCTTATAAATAGATCGCACCTGTGTGTTGGCAGGATAATTCATCTGCTGTATGAATTGTTCAGCATTCTTCATGGCAGCTTTTCTCTCTTGTGGGTTAGCATCTTTGCCTGGTTAAAACAGAAGGATAACAATACGTGGGAAAGCATAATGAGCTCACAGATCCTGCAAAAACAAGATGTCCTTGAGCCAGGTTCTCTGACATTGCTCTTGCCTCAGCCTTGAACAAACACAAATGCTGGACATAGCATGAGCAAGAAGACTCACACATAAGCTGAATGGCCAAAACAGCAGCTTTGAAAACAGCTAAAATAAAAATAAAAATGGGGACATTACAATGATTTTATTTTTTCTTCGAGTGTGGGCCTCTACCAAAATAATGCTGTTCATAATATTTGGTTGGTTCAAGGTACAAGAACACCCCGCTGCTTTTCTCTGAATACGTTTCTTACTGGGCTGCAATGTGGTAAATAAAGCTGCTGTCCAGAACTGCCTTTACTTCTTGAAGCACTGCCACAGTCTGAGTAAAAAGCAACTCCCACTTTGTCTGGATGGGTTGTGCAATTTCCACTGCCCTTCCCAACCCATTGCTTCTTTTTCAGCCTTGCTCAGTGTCAGACATCTCGTGAAACCTCTGTGGGATGATACTGTCTATCAGGTCTGTGTCCCAGCTGGCTGTCCATTACTATACTGCAAAGACCTCTTAGTCTAATAAGATGCTCTTATGAGCTATTCATTGTATTCCATTCTGAATGAGATTATTAGAAAAGCAATTCACACTCCTCAGCTTAGTGGTCTGAAGATTTCCAGCAGAGATGATAACTGCAGCCTCCCAGTGAAAGGTTGAGACTCATAGACTAATGTGAGTCATTATTGTTACACATTATTTTTACCAACAGTAGCACAGTGAGGATGCACAGAGGAGCAAATAGGTTCCCATTCAAAGGGCCTAAATTGTATTTTATTTATTTTATGCCTGATTGTATTGGCTTGGTTCTTCTTGAAGCTGTCAGGTAGAGAGTAAAAACCAGGAATCAAGGGATCAGGTAGACATTAGGCCATCTGAGCATAATGTTCCCAAAATACTCTCGTTTAAAGGATGCTTCCCTAACTGCAAATGAAGTTTCAACAAAAGTGCTTACACTGCTTCCTGGACTGACTCCAGCAGTTTGACCAATGCATTGATTGATTATTTGCTATTCACATGGTAAAAAAAAAAAAATAAATGCAAATGCCACAGAATAATGAATACAGTGCCTCAGATGAAAAAGGGGAGATACTCAGCACTGGAGGCAATGGCAGCACCACAACAATCCAGCTGCAAGGTGTACAGACCTAATTCCTCATTAGTAGTATTCTCCTGGGAAATGTTCAGTCAAAGTAACTTCAGACACTCCTACAAGCATTGATGATACTGCAGAGAAATATTCACAAGACAAAAAGAAGCATCAAAGTATGCGCAAGCTTATGCTTTTAGCTGATGCCTGAGACACTCATCTTGCAATTTCACACTTCTGTGGAGCAATGTATGGAATCCACCCATTATAAAAATTTATGTGTCCAGATTTTGTTCCAGAAGATAAGGATTTGATGACAGTATACAAAATTTGTAGAATTCTTTGTTTGCTTTGTAACTGTCCACAGGCTGCCCAGGGAGGTTGTGGAGTCTCCTTCTCTGGAGACATTCAAAACCCGCCTGGACACATTCCTGTGTAACCTTATCTAGGTGTTCCTGCTCCGGCAGGGGGATTGGACTAGATGATCTTTTGAGGTCCCTTCCAATCTCTAACATACTGTGATACTGTGATACTGTGATAGATAAGCACTTAGGCACCCAGGCTTACAAATACCTCAGAAATAACCAGGATCCTTAGACAAGACTTGATCTGGAGGCTGGTTCCCAAATGAGCAATCTGTGTCCACCAAGGAACTGCACCTGCACCAAGTGTGCAAGACTGTGTGCAGGGTACTGTGTCCAGCCAATATTAAATTCTTGCTATTGTCCCCAGGGTGTTGTGTCGACTCCTTAGATATATCTGTGTAGCTTCTGCATTTGCAAGAGAAGTGATCTCTTACCTTTCCACACAAAGATCTTCCTTGCAGCACCATTGTCCAAAATGAAACACTCCTCAGACAAAAGCATAGCCATGGAGAAGGGATTTTCCTCTGCTACCAGGGACACTTTCATGGATCCACTTGCATCTGACACCTAAGAAGCAAACATTTCAAATTTAGAGCAACTCTGGTTTTTATTTCCAAGTTAATTTTGGCTTACAAAATTACTATAATGATCAGCTGCCGTTCCTATATAAATAGCTAGATGAAATTTGTGTGCTGCTGGAAAGTAAGGCAGGCTGATGATAATTTTGTTTCATTTCATCTTACATCCAGTAGAGGGTGATGTAGTATTAATTTTAACGAGTTTGTTGGATTCCTGTCTAACAACTTCTTAAAAGAAATCTATTTATTTCCCCTTGCAATTCAACTGCTCCTTCAGTGAACACCTGACAGTTAAAAATCTGTATTTTCTCCAGCCTCTCCTACTGGAGTCCCTAAGTGTCAGCTTCTGTTACCAAGCAACCTGCATGAAGCCAAAAGTACACATGCATGCTGAACAACATTTGAAACTGTAACAAAATACTCCTATTTATTTATTATTATTTATTATTATTATTTATATACCATTATTTATTAATCATAAATACCTATATTTACAATATACAATTTGTTAACTGGAAATTGTAATATAAGACTTGTTACAGAATCTGTTTCGTAACCTCTACCACCACTGTACGTTCATGCAGATTTTTAAAACCTTCTAAAATTCTGTCCTGTATGGTGAAAAGACCAATTATTACTACTAAAAAGAAGTTATTATTACCTTTGTAATAACTTTTCTAGAAGTTTTTATTTCCTTTAATTAGTAAGTATAAATTATAAATATAGAATCATAGAATCATAGAATAGTTAGGGTTGGAAAGGACCTTAAGATCAGCAAGTTCCAACCCTCTGCCATGGGCAGGGACACCTCACACTAAACCATATCACCGAAGGCCTCGTCCAACCTGGCCTTGAACACTGCCAGGGATGGAGCATTCACAACCTCCCTGGGCAACCCATTCCAGTGCCTCACCACCCTAACAGGAAAGAATTTCTTCCTTATATCCAATCTAAACTTCCCCTGTTTCAGTTTTAACCCATTACCCCTTGTCTTATCACTACAGTCCCTAATGAAGAGTCCATCCCCAGCATCCCTATAGTCCCCCTTCAGATACTAGAAGGCTGCTATGAGGTCTCCACGCAGCCTTCTCTTCTCCAGCCTCAACAGCCCCAACTTTCTCAGCCTGTCTTCATATGGGAGGTGCTCCAGTCCCCTGATCATCCTCGTGGCCCTCCTTTGGACTTGTTCCAACAGTTCCATGTCCTTTTTATGTTGAGGAAACCAGAATTGCACACAGTAGTTCAAGTGAGGTCTCATGAGAGCAGAATAAAGGGGCACGATCACCTCCTTCGACCTGCTGGTCACGCTCCTTTTGATGCAGCCCAGGATACAGTTGGCTTTCTGGGCTGCAAGCACACACTGAAGCCGGCTCATGTTCATTTTCTCATCGACCAGCACCCCCAAGTCCTTTTCCGCAGGGCTGCGCTGAATCTCTTCTCTGCCCAACCTGTAGCTCTGCCTGGGATTGCTCCGACCCAGGTGTAGGACCTTGCACTTGGCATGGTTAAACTTCATGAGGTTGGCACCAGCCCATCTCACAAGTGTGTCAAGGTCCCTCTGGATGGCATTCCTTCCCTCCAGCGTATCAACCGAACCACACAGCTTGGTGTCATCGGCAAACTTGCTGAGGGCGCACTCAAGCCCACTGTCCATGTCAGTGACAAAGATGTTGAACAAGACCGGTCCCAACACCAATCCCTGAGGGACATCACTGGTTACTGGTCTCCAGACGGACATTGAGCCATTGATCACAACTCTTTGTGTGCGGCCCTCCAGCCAGTTCTTCATCCACCGAGTGGTCCATTCATCAAATTGATGTCTCTCCAATTTAGAGACAAGGATGTTGTGTGGGACAGTGTTGAACGCTTTACACAAATCCAGGTAGATGACATCAACTGCTCTACCGCTGTCCATACCACTATATCTTACCTTGTGTATTATGGAAGCACAAGATTGTAACTGCAATTGTATACAACAAATAAAAATCAACTATCATACCTATTATGAGGCTCACTGTAGACCTGCCTCCTGACTTTGACACTTGCTGTTATATTGCAGCACATTTAAATTTAGCTAACAGAGCTCTGTTAGCAGGACAGGTATGATTAGAGGAATTTATTAAATATTCACAGAATTTTCTGAGTTCCTAGAATTCCAAAATTTACTGCAAGCAGTTTTCTTTAGTCTTGTCTTACTACAGTGGTCCTCATCATACCTGCAGGCTTTTCTCTTCCTCCCGCCCCAAACGTTCCTACAAAGTTAAGTATGTGCCAGATTTTTGGCAAGAATGAAATGATTAATGGGAACTAAACACAGCACATAGACCACAAGGACTAAAAATCACCTTATAACAATGATCACCTCATACAGGCTTTCTTGTAAACCTCTGCACCACATGTGGGTAGGGGAAGAATCATGTTATAGGCAGGGAGAGAGGTGGCTTTATCCTACTGCAGTCTGTGGGATGCAGGAGCTGCAGAGGAAGGGACTCACCCTCTCTCATACTTCACAGCAGCCTTAAAGCTACTGTATATGGCACCTAAAAGGTCATACACGTGGGGATACAGCAGCACTTAGTTCTGTCAGTGTTGCCACTTGTTGACCAAATCCTTGCTCTTCAGTGACTATGGGGAAGACAGAAAAGTACATTGTATGCCAGTGAAAGACTTTTCCGTCACGAAAGGCAACCTCACTGCATGAGCCAGAACACAAAATACTGAAGATAAAGGTCCAGACCTCCATGCTAACAAGAGCTTGTAAAATAAATACTCTTTGTGCAGTCTTCAGGATAAAATAATCTTCTTACTGGGAGGAGGGAGGATAATGTGTTTTATAGATGTTGCTAAAACATTCCCCTTTTCCAAGTACTTTCTTACTTCTTTTCTCAAGTGGGAGAATATGACAGAAAGAGGAGCTATAGGAAAAAAATAAAATAAAATAATAAAAAAAATAATACAGGCCTGGAAATAGTTTGGATAGTTTGGTTTGAGGTTTTTTTGGTTGTTTTGTTTAATAGTAATGTAGCTTTGTATACAGGTAAGATACTGTATTGGTAGTTCGAAGAATAAATTCCATGCCTCTTCTACGGAAGAGCAGTAAGCCTATCATGATGTGAGGGAAATTATTAGCTTTACAGATTGCAATCATGAAATTCCTACTGATTTAAATGGACTCAATTTTTTTCTGGCAGTGACACTGTCCTAGTCAGTGTTAAGCTATTGCAGGTGAGGAAGGAAGAAAAGGGCATTGGAAAAGAAAGGAGGTTTGTGTTCAAATTCCTTTGGATTTATCAATAAAATATAACACAACTGTCCACCTTTCAAACATTGTTAAGAATAACTTAATCATCTATGCTTACCAAAACTCTCACTGTTAAAAGCAAGAAGACACAAAATATAGTTTAAGACCAGCTAATTCTTCTTTGACCTGAACTGAGTGCCTCATAGGCAATGCTTAGCTTGTTTCCTGAGTAAACAGGATAGAATCCTTTTTTTTTTTTCCTGAAATTATTCGGGCTGTCTTGATTGATGTTCCTTGAGAAACTGTCCATTGGCTGCAAATCAACTGACACAAAGGCAGTTCTGTAAGTGAAGCCACAACTCCATGCATGAGGAACAAATGAATGCATGAATACTGTAGACTGTACCTAACTTAAATAAGCAAATAAATTACGTACCATATATAGTTTAGCACTTCTCCTGTTTGTAATATCGGCCAGCTCATCTTCATTATCATCACACTCAGGAAGCTCTGGCTTGCTCCCTAAAACCTGTTCAACAAAAGAAGAACAAATTCAGTGAAGAGAGAGAGTAGGTGCTATAGTATAAATACCCAAACACTGTAATGGTTGTTCCAGTAACTGATTAATCTGCATTATGTTTACACGTAATACAGTCTAAATCCAAACTCGTGGATGATTTTTCACCAATGCTTTTGTATTGCTAGGAACAACTTACATTATTCCGAACATGTATTAATTTCAGCCAGCTTGTCTTAGAGACTGGAGGATGACATAGAGCACAGAAAGGAAAAATCTGTACTAAAAAAAAAAACAATTTATGCTGAAAAAAAAAGTTAAGCTCTGCCCCAAAGAGATGCCTTCCAGAGAAGGTGTCCTTCCTCCTGCTAAGACAAACTTCCATGATGCAGCTGAGTCCACACACAGGCACACATACGCCTGGGTGGTATGACAATTGATAACTTTACATGAAGATTACCAAGTGTGTATTGAACAACAGCTAACTGCTGTGCTGGAATTGGATTGTATTATTACCTAAGCATATGGCTGGCTGAGCTGCAGCTTTCCAGAGCACCTCACCATTGTACAGATAATCCTCATGTGATGCATAAAAAGAAAACAAATCCTGCCAGCTGAGACTATAATCAAAGACTCCCAAAGCTTTTCAGCAAGGTTCCCCAATAAGATGACTTAAACCAAGAAACAGTTTAAAAGACATTCAGCCTTCTGATTCTTATCTACATATACTCTTCATTTCACACAAATCCCATGGTAGGTATATACACAAGACCTTGCTCATATAATTCTCCCTATACAGACAGTCAGGCTGCTCCACTGGGTATTTATACCTTACAATCCAGAACACTGAGAGCTCTGGGGTGGCTCCTCTGGGCTGCTCTGACGTTCAAAACCTAGGCTTGCAAATGTGACAAGAATTCAGACCCACAAATCCATCCTACGCACCTGAAAATAGCAGTGCTCTCTTGGGGATACAAAACAGCCTAGCTACACAGTCCAACCGTACTGGCAACTTCAAACCACACCTCTCAAAAAATACACAAGTGCACATACAGGTTTGAAACCACTTTAAAAATCATCAATTATTAGCCTTTACTGCTGGAGTGCTGAAGATTATTTAGAGTAGAAATAATCTAAAGAATAATTACGGGCCCTGAAAGGTTAGCCATGCCTCATCTTATTCATTCTTTGGCTTTAGCATCTTTGTTCACAGCTTCTGTTTTCCAAACCACAGACTCTTCATATCACTTCACCTCACCTGTCATTGAAAGGTTAAGGTGTCAATTATAAAATCATAGAATAGTTAGGGTTGGAAAGGACCTTAAGATCAGCAAGTTCCAACCTCCCCGACATGGGCAGGGACACCTCACACTAAACCATGTCACCCAAGGCTCTGTCCAACCTGACCTTGAACACTGCCAGGGATGGAGCATTCACAGCTTCCCTGGACAACCCATTCCAGTGCCTCACCACCCTAACAGGAAAGAATTTCCTCCTTATATCCAATCTAAACTTCCCCTGTTTCAGTTTTAACCCATTACCCCTTGTCCTATCGCTACAGTCCCTAATGAAAAGTCCATCCCCAGCATCCCTATAGGCCTCCTTCAGATACTGGAAGGCTGCTATGAGGTCTCCACGCAGCCTTCTCTTCTCCAGCCTCAACAGCCCCAACTTTCTCAGCCTGTCTTCACACAGGAGAAGCTCCAGTCCACTGAGCATCCTTGTGACCCTCCTCTGCACTTGTTCCAACAGTTCCTTGTCCCTTTTATGTTGAGAACACCAGAACTGCACACAGTAGTTCAAGTGAGGTCTCATGAGAGCAGAATAAAGGGGCAGGATCACCTCCTTTGACCTGCTGGTCATGCTCCTTTTGATACAGACCAGGATATGGTCTGAAGCTGGCTCATGTTCATTTTCTCATCAACCAGCACCCCCAAGTCCTTCTCCACAGGGCTGCTCTCAATCTCTTCTCTGCCCAGCCTGTAGCTGTGCCTGGGATTGCTCCGACCCAGGTGTAGGACCTTGCACTTGGCATGGTTAAACTTCATGAGGTTGGCATCAGCCCACCTCATAAGTGTGTCAAGGTCCCTCTGGATGGCATTCCTTCCCTCCAGCATATCAACCGAACCACACAGCTTGGTGTCATCGGCAAACTTGCTGAGGGCGCACTCAATCCCACTGTCCATGTCAGCGACAAAGATGTTGAATTCAACCCTCACTGTCTGTTGCTCCACCACAGAATGATGCTTATCCTCTCCCTGCCATTGCTTCTTGCATGCAGGTTTGTCCTGGAGAAAAGCATGAGCAACTCTGGCCCCACCAAGGTGCACAACTGCTGCTATTCTGCAGTGACCACCAGTGTGCACACTCTAACCTCATGGTGTATGTGATGTTGTTTAATCACTTAAGGCTTAATCACCTCCATAGCTGTTTCAGACTAAGACATGCCCACAGCTGACTATGGCAGAGCCCACCTTGCCTTTCATGGCTATCATCTAACACCAGCTTACCTCTCAGTGAGAGCTTCGGAATGCCAATTTAACATTGTTCTATCAAAACTATTCATTAACTACACACCTTTAGATCTTGTCTGAAGGGGGAGGGATAAAAGAAAGTCAATCTGCATTAATTTTCAGAGCTTTGGTTCTTTAAGTTTTGTTAATCTTTTATGTTTACACTCCTTGGCTGGTGCAAGAATATCATAGTGAAAACCAAAAGAACATCAGATTCTCTACAAGTTCCCAGGTACACTCCTATCTTGTGGTAAGTGCAATATATCTTATCCTGCCTGCATAACCATAATTCCCTTTCTTATTCTCATGTGCACAATCTCTTCTCTGTAAGTATTTGCACCCCCCAGAGAAGTGCAAAATATGGAGCCAAATCTTTTACTGACACGTGAAATCCTACTTAGTTGACCTTAAAAAGAAAAAAAAAATAAAAAAATCACAGACAAAAGGTTTCTAATCTGTAGGAATGTGACAAGGTAAATAATTTAAAATAAACCCATCAAAAGAAGAAATTCAGTAAACATTGTCTTCATAACTTGAGAAGCCAGGTCTGCATCATAAAACAGTCGATATTGACTTAACGGGAGGAACAAGTTTAAAGACTTCAGTGAGGCTGAAAATCCAACTTGGAAAACAATACTCAAAGAATGTGTCAGGTGAAGGTTAATTAAGAGGGAAATCCAGTTTCGTAGAGTTTAAGTTGTGTACACTAGCGCTGTGTTTGTGTTTCTTCTTACTATACACAGTTTGGGTTAGGTTTCTGGGTCTGAAACTAAACTATTTGTTGTGGCTGTGATCCCAAATGCCAGATCTCAAAAACCTTGAATTCCCTTCTTTATATGCTAAGAGCAATAGAAAGAAAAGCAAGACATTTACATAGCTTAAAGCTGTCTTGTGGTACTGATATTTTATTACTTAATACTTTCGGAAAACAATCAAGATTAGTAGGTTATCATTTACTCTCTAGCAGCTTCTGACATAAGCAAGTATATCCTGCTCCCACAAACTCAAGGTACACATGTAGGCTGTGATGGAATATAAACCCTCAGTGCAGGTCAATAGGCCTGAACCACAGGCACAGCATGGACTCAATGGCAGACAAATGCTTAGATTTTTATCAACCTTCAAAGCAGAGAAGAATATTACAAGGAATGCCTCTCTGAAATAAATACTGCCTCCAGTATTTACTGCAGTGGTCTGTAAAGGAAGGTTAATCCAGTAGAGAGAGGAAAGGATGAACATGATGCAAGCTAGTAACCACCTGGCTGACCCTGGCTACCAGAGCAGACATTGGGGGTGCTCATTGGGCAAAGGTGATTTTAGGACTTTGCTGCTGAAGTAACTGGGCAGTTTCATTTCTAATCATTTTGGCTTTGTGGCTCTCTTGCCAGAGCACAGCCACTGTAGAGGATATTCTGGTCCACTCACAAACAACTTTTGACATTGCTCACATTATGAACAGCTGAATATGCTTATTTCACTGGTTACTGTAACCTGGGACTCTTTCCACTCATTCATAGACTTCGAAAAAATTACACTCTCAACAGGAAAAAAAAACATCCTTTCACTAAACTGCTCCCAGGTAGCTAGCAGGATTTCTGCCAGAAATTGCCTCTCACTAGCGATTCCAGCCACAACAGATGTCATTACATGCTCACCTTGAGCAGAAGACCTCCCACCTGCCTGAACAGAGATTGAAAATAAGATGGAAACAGCCATTAGGTACAGAGCAGTGGACAAAAATTATGGTTTATACTAACAAATAGTTCCAGCATGCTGTTAATTTTGAGGGGGTTACCATGTAATTCATCAAAAAGACTTCCTAGTATTAAGGTCTAAACCTGATCTGTATGCACCCAGATTGCTATGAAATAGCAAAACATATCAGTTGCTCATGGCACTTTTGACACTTAAATTATGGCCTACATTTTTAGCCAGCTTCTGTTTTCTCAGGAATTTTAAATGCAAATCACAATTTTATTCATATCTCTATGCTTAACTTCCTAAAAATAGGGCATTTGTCCTTGGCAGCTTTTCATGCAATATTTGCAACTTTGCATATCTGTCTGGGGTAATTTGAATATAAATCCCTTACTGGTATGATGGCAATATTTTAACATTCATTTTCTGCTCTGTGAAACAGGCCATGGGTAACATTTTCACTAAAAAAGTATCTGGATCAGTCTTGAGAGTATAAAATTGATGTTTTTCACAGTTTGCCTCCAAGGTAAAACAAGCTACCTTCTGTCCTGCTGGGACTGCACAGCTGGCAGTACCTAAGTTAGATATTTACACTGCAACCGGGTGTGTGTGAAATGAGCTGAGGAAACCCCCAGCCGACATTATCTTCAAATGTCTAGCTTTAAGGGTGCCCTCAGGATGAACAGTGATTCCACACTAAAGAAACCGTGAGGGTGAATGGCAGTAAATATGCACACACAGAAGCCTTTCTGTGACCATTACTGCCGCTGAACATTGAGAACTGAGCTGTTCATTGACCTG